GTCATTTTCATTGAGTCTTTTTTAGCGTGTAACCACCCTTTAAGCAATAAAATATGATACAACATGCAGTGGCTCTTATTAATAGACCCTCAGGTGTGTGCTAAGGCAAGAAGGGAAATAAGAAGATGGGAATAGGTGACAATCTGCCAAAAAATGGATGTAAGAAAGATATGGAGAAAGAAGGTTTTGATTAAAGGACACAACAATTATGGCTCTACACAATTTAAGCCAATGTTGGGTATATTTAAAATGAATATTTGTCTAATTACACAAAGGATCTGTATGCGTTTTTTATTTTTATGTAATATAAATAGATATTAATAAAGAGAATATAAAAGCCATTCTATGAAAAAATAATTAGGATTTGAATGTTGCCAGGTAATTTTTCACTGCAGTATACTAGACATATCAATTAGTGATTTTCTTTGTTATTTTAATATAGCTGCCAAGAGGAAAAAAAAGGAAAAGGTAGTTCTGTCTGGTAAAATGTTGATCATCTCCACTCATATGATGGGTTAGAAAGAAAAATGAAGAGCTGTTTAGTCCAAATTGCTGTATCTGTTGCTTCTGGGTTGTCGGTATTTAATGCATGTCTCGTTGCATACACAACTCCACCACACCAGCCGAAAAGAGTTCAATACTACAAAGTTTTTCCTCTGGTAAGAAACAGTGAGTCAAGCACTCACTTGGAAGAGGCAGATGAAGTCTTGTAGTACTATAGGCTGACACTTAAGAGGCCACCACAGTAAGGTGACTGGGGTCCCCTGCAGAGTCTGTTTTCCTCACTGATATAGACATTCTTATCCCACGTCATTTTTTTGCTGGGCTTTTCATCTTTGTAGTGAGAAAAAATGATTGTGTTTGAGGATAAGGATATAGAGAAAATTAAGCAGTATTTCTTCCTTCACAAGAGGAAAGCAAGGTAAAAAAATGATAACAAACTTGAGGGCAGTCATCAGTACATTTCTACAACAAAATTAGTAAAATTAGTAAAACAAGGATAAAATAAGTGAAAATTAATACTAATCTAAAGCATGAATACTGGGCAATTCTAGGTAGAAAAAGAAGCATTAATATGGCATACTAGTAAGATTGCCAAAGGTCTATATTTTATAAGGTAACAATTTAGTCATAGATTTTACTGCAGCCTGTTCTTACCAAGAACTGCTATAGAATCCACACTTTTCCAAAGTGTGAGAAATTTCTTTACTCTGATGTTCAGCCTATGTTTATCACTCCAGTGGTATTTACAATATTGTCATAATTATTTCTGCCAGTAATGTTGGAAATACTTGCTTACTTGCTTTCTAAATCTATCCTCATTTTTCAGATGTTATTTGACTATAAAAAGATATCTGTCAATTCAGTTTGATGAAGCAAATAAGTAAAACAAGTTTCTTATTTTTTTGGAACACAGTATATCCTGTAGGCTACAGACCCCTCAGTCTATTTCTCTCTCTACCTTCCTCCCCTGCCCCTCAGTCTCTCTTGTTCTCTTTCTCTTGTCTGTTCCCTGTTGATGGTATGATGGGCCTATTGCTGCTAGGCAAGAACTGACAGATATTTCGGGATATATGACCTTTTATGTTAGCTAACCTTGCTCAGCAACTAAAAGGATGTGACCTTGAGAGAGTCAGTTCTCCTAATCTCTTTATCTGAAAAATGAGAACATTGGAGTAGATAAACTTTAGGTCTTTTCTGTTGATCTTCAGTTTCCTAGATTATTTTTCTCTTTTTGAATTCAGTATAGCAGACATCAGCTGAACACAAGCTTGTGTGCAAGGCATTGCATACCACAGGGTCCCATACAGGTGGAAAAAGAGATGATCCTTGTCCCATCATAAAGGGGTACAGACAACACTCCTATAACAAAAGACAGGTTAACAAGGAAAAACCCTAAGAAACTTATTTGATCATAGTCTTATGTGACACGAGAACCTTCAGATTGAAGATCCAGAGTGAACTGTCCCATTTTTATGCTTAAATTTGAAGAAGCATGGACCACAGTGTAGAAACGTGATTGGACAAAAGGAGTCTGCACTAGTAGATTGAGTGCAGAAACCCAGCAAGGCCTGTCTGTTCAGATTCTTGTTGGCTGTCTCTGTGCAGCATTCCTTCCTCCCGGGTATGGGCAGGACCCCTTCTGAATTGGTGGTCTTGTGATCTACTGTCAGACAAGGTAGGTTGGAGAATTTCTTTATGCCTAGCTCTTCACAGACAGGCAGGAGAAGATTACAGTAATATTTTTGAGCTTCATGGCTTGCTTTTGGGAAAAGGGGTTCTATTTTCCATGACTCACCTTGAGGAAGACAAATTCTAGTTTCTGTGGCTTGTCTCAGGGAGAGAAAGAGGAACAGGAGACAGAAGGGAAAAATGGGGTTAGAAACTGCTTCTGAAGCTGCTTCTGAGACCTTTGGTTTGGGGTATTGCTTTGTGTGTTCCAGCAGTATATGGAGTAAAAATTGTCTCTGTCTTCAAGGAGCTTATAGAGAAGGAAGACACATTACACAAATACTTATTAAAGCTGACATAAAAATACAAAGGAAATAGTGTAAATAAGTGCTTCAGGATTCAAGAAGGATACTTTCCGGGGCCGGGGATTTAGCTCAACGGCACAGCGCCTGCCTGCCAAGTGTGAGGTCCTGAGTTCGATCCCTAGTACCAAAAAAAAAAAGAGAAAGAAAAGAAAAAACAAGAAGGACACTTCCCTTGGTGAAATGCTTCCAAAATGAGGTAGCATTTAGATGGTCATCAAGAAACTACATGTAGACATTGGAAAATGAGAGACAATACCATGCACATTGTGGGAAAGAGCAGGCTCTTGCTGGAGTGTAGAATGGACTGCGGAGATAAGAAAGGAAAATTCAAGTCAGGCATGGGGCCAATGCTTATAATCCCAGCACCCTGGAAAGCTGAGGCGAAGGACCACAAGTCTGATTCCAGTCTGGGCAACTTAGTGAGAACCTGTATCAAAATAAAATAACAAAATAAATAGCTGGGGATGTAGCTCACCGTGAAGGCCCTGGGTTCGATCCCTAGTACAGCAAAAAAAGAAAAAAAGAAAGGAAAGAATGGAAAATTAAATTGGGACCACATTATAGCAACAGTGAATGCCAAACTGAGAAGTCCAAATTAAATCCAATGAGCAAAGAGGATTTTGACCAAAGAAAAAAGTGTTTAGACTGTTACTTTAGAAAATTAATATGTCAATGGGAAGGATAATCTAAAGGTAAAAAGAAACTAGAAGTGAAAGCAATTTGAAGACTTTCATAGAAGTCTTGGCCATAGATGGCAAAGTATGGAAAACAAGTAAAACACAGCTAGAGTAAAAAAATTGGCAGCTGTTTAGATATAGAAAGCAAATTAATTAATTAGATGAAAGGATTACAAATGACTTCTCAGTTGTAGACCCAAGAAACTGGATGTAGATGGTATCAGTGGAAGGAAACAAAAAGTTTGGAGAAAGAACAGACTTTGAGGGAAATCAACAAATTCTGTTTCAATTTTTCTCACTTAGAAAAGCCTGTATTTGATAGAGATATAAACTTCTCAAAGTTGAAGACCCTGAATTATTCATCTTTTCCAGGTGCCTAATAGATGCTGTGTGAACACTGAGTGAACAAATGAATGAATGTATCAGTAGTCAGCTGTTATTTAGACTGTGGTCTGGAACTGTGTAGACAAGCTACTGCTAAAGATAGCAATGTGGATACTCTGTGGAAAAGTGCTTGTTGAGACCATGGAGAGGAGAATCTTCACTAAGGGAAAAGGGGAAGTAAAAGCAAGCCAGTGAAGGAGGCAGAAGAGCAAACTGAGAGGTAGGAGTCAGGATAAGGCCATGTTCCCGTGCCAAGGAAGGGGACTTTCAGGAACAAAGCAGTCTTTGGAGCTCACTGTGGCCTAGAAAACCCAGTTTGAGCCTCAGGGACAGTTAATAATTCTGTAGCCCCTCAGGCTGGACTCCTCAGGGCTAAAAGACATGAAAAAGCAGAGCTTTGCAACTGAGAGCAGAGTAAAAGTGGAGAGAAGGCAAGAACTCTGAATGGGCCAGGTCAGTGAGTATGCTTAGACTAGGTAAGAACTGAGCATCAGAGAGGGAGAGACTGAGGGGAATTTTTAAAACACCAGAAATGAGAGAGAGAGAGAGAGAGAGAGAGAGAGAGAAAGGGAGAGAGAGAGAGAAATACTATTCAGCCTTTAAAAAGAAGGAAAGCATGTCATTTGCCACAATGGGATCAAACCTGGATGACATTATAGTAATTAAATAAGTGAGGCACAGAGAGGGAAATTTGGCATTATCTCACTTGAAAATAGAACCTAAAAATGTTGAACTCATAGAAGCAGAGAATAAAATGGTTGCCAGAGGCTGGGGAGATGTTGGTCAAAGAATACAAAATTTCAATTAGAAAGGAGAAATACGTTCAAAATCTATTGTACATCATAATGACTCTAGTTAACAAAATACTATATACTTGACAATTGCTCAGAATAGATTTTAAGGATTCTCACCACAAAGAAATGAGATATATGTTTATTGACTTGATTTGTCCACTACACAATGTATACATATATCAAAAGATTATGTTGTTTGTGATAATTATATACAGTTTTGTCAATTAATGATGAACAAATAAGCAAATATATGAAGTAGGGGAGAACATGAGAAGAATCACTTGTGGCAAGGCTGAAAGACATTGTCCTCACTTCCTCCGCCCTCATCCCTGACTCAGTTTCCAATTGGATCCACAAAAAACCACTTCATCAGCACGGAAAGAGTGCTACTGATGTCTGACAGTGCACAGGCAGTCAGGCGGGAACACTTGGTGACAACTTCTCCGCCCTCCCTTCCCTGACCTGCCACTCTCTAGTGCAAAGATGCAGGCCCAGACTCTCAGCCACATCCCGTACTTCCATCTCCATTAAAATAAATCATCACTATCACCATCACCCGCTACTCAAACAACGTTACTTTTGTTTGTGTTTTTTTTTGTCTGTGCTAGATGCAGCTGCTCTCTGTTCCCTGCCCCAATGAACATCTGCACTAGGCCCAAGCCTTGGAGTGATTTACCTGAAGAGTGACACCGTTTTTTGGAAACTACTGTGAGTACATTATGCCTCCACGAAAGGGTCCTTAGTTCACTGTTTTTAATTAGAAAAAAGACACGCGCGCGCACACACGCACACACACACAGTTGTAAAAGCAGGCAAAAATTTACATGGCCTCATCTTTTGGATGCAGCCTTGCCTGATGTGTGTGTTGGGCCAGACCTGAGCACACCTTGCAGGGACTGGTGGAGTTCTTGGTCATTTGCATGGCTTCCCAGAGCAGCGACAGCTCCTCCCAATATGTTTGCATCTCATCACCCCCCTGTGTCACCCTTGAATCTCATGGGAACTTGTCATTTCATGTCAGTCTGTCAGCTTTGCTTGCCTGTATCTGCTTGTCTCAACTGTATCCCCATGCTGTTGCCTCATTGACATTAGAGGGAGCCGAGGCCTCTAGCTGGGGCTCTGGGCTCATTTTGCTACAACACTAAGCCATCATGCCAGCTCAGCTTTGCCCTCTGGATGCGTGGCTCTATGTAGCTGCTTTAGTTTCCTCCATGTCAGGATATTTATGTAGAAGAACTATAATCCTTGCAAAGAAAGGATTGCAAAGAAATTAGGGGAGGAGATAAGCTACCTACAGGAAATAATGATAAAAGATTGATGTCAAGGATTCATTAATCATTGCTGAAACTAACAGATGAATATATGGGTTTTTTTCACTAGGAAAGGCCAAATATTGAATTCTTTAGAACTGTGCATGAAAAATAACTTCAGTATACATTTTTAGATGAAAACTCATTGTAGTTGTTGTAGTTACAAGTTTTCCCATATGGTATGAGACAGGTAATGGGATGGTGTTTTACAGACATCTCTATTACTGGAAAATGCTAAACCTGGGAGACCAGCATTCCTCTTAGGCTTTAGGTAGGATTTTCACATTCATATTTTCTATATCTTTAGCTATTCTGTCATAAATCAAACTGAGGAGAAGGAAGTCAAGAATTTTTATTTTATTGTTTGACACTTTTCCCTCTAATGCTTTCAGTTTCCTGGATAATAATTGATGGTAATTGATGTATAGGTGATAGGCAAGCTTGCTCAGCCAGTCAGGGATGGGAACCTTCAGAGTACTGAGGTATAAACAGGGACTAAAGACATGAGAGAATATCGAAAATAGATTTTCTTCCACACGCACAGAAGAAACTTACTTAAATGATATCATCATTCATTCTTAAATTCGAGTGTAAGAAGTCTCGTAGAAATTTTTACATCTCACTAGTTTTCTGAGCTTTTTTTCATTACCGAAAAAGGAGCACAGCCAGCACACTAGGTTGCAGACTGGCTTCAAGATTTCTATGTCTATTGGGAGGGAAAGAGTCCTGCCTTCCTGTGCTACAGAGAGCCCAGATCTAGACCCAGGAATCAGGATCTGTCTGATGTGTCTGGAAAATTGCAGGGAAGCCCACAAGTGACTATCTGCTTCTGCCCTAGGGAGAATTTCACTGCACAGAGTGCCAGTGTAGTTTCACTTCTCATGGGCCTAGAGAAAGGACAAATCAGATTATAGTAACCCTTGCAGTGTCTGCTGTGCAGAAATTCGGCTTCCTTATATGTAAAGTGAAATAATAATAAAACTTATAGACTTGCTAGTCACAAAAATCAATCAGGTACAAAAACCATAAAAATATGAAGTATTTGCAAAGGGTGTCTCTTTCTGTGTGGTTTACAATGCTGTGGGCCTGGTCCCAAGGCTTAGGAGCAGGGGTAGGAGCAAGAGATAAAGTTTAACACATGGCCTGCACAACCATGCTCAGTCAGTGGCCCTGCCTTCTTACCCAGATTGTTGTGATAATTAAATGAAATAATGTATATATAGTTTCTGGCACAGCAGAAATAACTATCTATTCAATCAACTAAAATTTACTATGTTTCAGGCACTATTCTAGGCACTAGGGATGTGGTAGCAAGCAAAACAAACAAAAATTCCCACTCTCGAGTTTATATTTAGTTTTCTTGCTCTACAAATGGCAGAGAAAATAGGTACATAAAGCCCGAAGAGAACCAATTTTCTTTTATTTTGCTCTTTTCTTCCAGGGAGTAGTAATTGAGGATGAAAGGATAAAAAATAAGAAAGGGAAAGAACAGATATGCTGATGAGTGTTGCCAGCCCACCCAAACCAAACCCCAGAACCATTCTCTGCCCTCAGATGGGACCTGGAAGACCCCTCTGTGTAACACTACCCAGGTTCTCTTGTCCTCTGGCTTCCCTTTAAATTTGGCCAAAAGGAAACATTAGCCAGAGATGTGTGAGTGGGAGGAAAAAGAGGGCAGGCTATTTATTAGTTCTGTATCCTTTCCCAACTTCAATTCTGACTGAATTTAGAAAACTCCCTCCTTCCCTTTGGCCCTTCAGTTTAAATGGTTTAAAACAGATTAACAGCTCTCCACTGTTGCCAGTACTGATGCTTCACTGTCCCTTGAAGTTCCCTTACTGTAGCCTCTTCTATACCTCAGTACACAGTCTTCATTAAACTGTCTTCATTTAAAACTTTTGCATGTGCCATCGAACAGGATCTTGCCAGGATCCTGACTGATGCAGTGAGGGAGGAATACACTAAAAACATTCTAAGTCAGCTCTGCCAAAAGGCGGAAAAAATCTGAAAGAATAAAATGATCACAAAAATGTTTTAAATTAATATAAGAATGTTGAGCCAAGTAGCGAAAGGATAAATTATAAGAAAACATGATAAGCAAGAGTGCTCTAGGATAGTTTCGGTGAATAGACCGTAGTGTTTGCGCTTGACAGTCTTCCATCAGCCAAGTGCAGCTTGCTTGACTTTGAATATCAAGGACCTGTAGGAATAGCTACAGCAGCAACATGTGCATAGAAAGGTGTGAGGTGGCAGGGAATACCATAAGATCAAAGTGTTGAAGAAGAGATTGCTCATTTTAACAGCCTTTCCGCATTGCTACATTAACAATCCATTTGCTCATGGCCCGAATCTAGACATTAAAAAGAGTGCTAAGATAGAGGAAATCGTCTTATTATATAGCTAATATGATGGAAACCACAGAACTAATGCTGGGAAAGGAGCTATCATTATTGAGTACTTACTTTTTAACACCAGAGGTGATTTAAAAAAATGTTGTGATATTAAATTTAGAGAAAACTATTACAGTAAAAGACAGTGCCACCAATTCCCCTCAAACACCCCCATCCATGTCAAACATACTTATCCCATCATTTCTGTCACTTTAGAAGCAGTTGTAGAAATTCTCATTCATGTTTTTATAGGCTGTGATCAAAAATATGGTGAATACAGTTGATAAGTGCCATCCAATGGAAAGCCAGGGTTATAAAAGCATTACAGTGTGTCCTTATCTACTTTATTCACTAGATCTAGCACTATGAGACTTCTGTCTCTTCTGTGAATTCAAAATGCCCATGAAAGATAAATGTTTTAAATCGATTCAGGACATTAAGGGAGCCACAACAAAACTAAAGACACTTAGGAAAGAGGACTTCCAGAACTGCTTCAGAAAGTAGCAAGAATGGTGAGATAAGTGTGTCCAAAGCCAGGAGAGAGTATTTTGGGAGTATTAATGGCAATGTGTCTTTTACCATAATATTTTTTAAATTTAAGCATTCACTGCATATTTTCATCATACCTTGTATATGGTTCATCTCCTTTATTCCTCATGGCACCCCTAGAAAGTAGGCATTATTGTTCCCATTTTACATATGAAACAAATGAGGTTCATAGATGCAGAGTAAACTGCCTAGGGCACACAGTTAGTGGGTATCGGAGCTCAGCTCTGGCACCTCCCCCTCCCTTGCCTTTGTGGTTTGTTACAATCTCCCCTTCCCCTGCCTAGACACTCTCCTGTTGCTATGCACTATTTTAGAGAACAGAGAGATGATTACTAGCTCAAAAAGACTGGAGAGTCATCACTGATCTAAATTATTCTGATCCAGTGACTGAGTAATTATTTATCAAAAGGAGGTTCTGACTAATTCTTTCCTATCTAACCAGGCTGATAAGTGGAAGGCATGTTAATGTGCAGGAGAGTGTGGGAGCCCAGTGAAGGGAGAAAATTGGAAGAGGGAGATAGAAGAGAGCACTCTCTTCTCAACAGACCCTGGAGACTGATAAGAGCTCACAGAGATAAAATATTTATTTTTCCATATGTTACAGAAAGCATTGCCATCACTGTGTGTGTACAATATGTGCAAAGGAGTGTGAAATATATACATCAAATGCCACCGATCTGGTTAATTTCCATGCGTTTAACATGCTTAATACCTACCATCACATCCATATGTTTTAATGCATATTTCTTTCCACATACAATATGGTCTTCTAAGGAAAGAGCCAAAATGCTCTACAGCGTTACTCACTGCTATGTTTCAGCCCAAAACTTGGTGCCAGGGCCAGCACAAGGAGAGCTAAAAACCAAAAGGTTCTGCTGGCTAACTTAGCTGCCAGTCACCTTAAAACACTTTCCCAGTTCTTGAAGCAGCTTTTATTCTCATACCAGAAATGTTTACAGTGGGGAGATGAAAATGTATCCTTTCTCTTTGGACAATTGGGAGATGTTCAGTCAGGATGTCAGAACTGACTGTTGAAAGGCAGGTGCCTGTAGCCACAGTTTTTTTCTCCTTCTTTTCTTTCTTTCTTTTTTTTTTTGAATGCAGAGCTCCACCAGTGAGGCAAGAGGAAGTGCACAATGATTGGTCTGTTTCTCTGTGAAAGTGTTCAGGGCACACCCAGATTTGCTTTGCATATATTTATGAAACATCTGCCCTTTTCTTATTCTTAAATTCTTCCTCCTCACCAGCTTGCTTTTCTCTGGTTTCTTTCTTTGTTGTTGTTGGCTTGTAACTTTTTCATTGGAGCGTTCATTTTCCGGTTGAGAGGCAACGTCATCAGAGTGTATCATTTTAACAGAGTGAAAGAAAGGAAAGGGAGAGAGAGTGTGAGCGAAGAAGAGGGGAAGGAGGGAGGGAGGTGGGGGAGAGAGAAAGAGGCAGAGAGAGACAGAGAGAGAGAAGGATCACTAGAGGCCAGAGGTTGCCAAACCAAACTTTGGCATGGTGACCAGGAGGAAGGTTCTGGTAGGGAGTTAGCTCTCTGAAGTGCTCCCTGGAGTCAGCCAATGTGCTGCTGCCCTCTAAAGGCTTCAGGGAATAATGCACAGCCACAGAAGCAGAGACTTGCCCTCAGACGTGCCATGTTTATTCAATTCTTTTTATATAACCAAGGAAAGTATTTTCAATTAATTATAACAAAGCTTGCTCTTTCCTCCTTGATCAACTGCAAACTGCCAAAACTGGTCAAAGAACGGAGCTTGTGTATGTCGGATGAATAGTGAGCAATTCTCTGTTATCTGTGCAGGTGGGAAACATCCCAGTAGTAAAAGGCTAAATAAAATGGTATTAGGCAAATAGAGAGTGAGCCAAAAAAGTTGGCCTTCAGTATTTTCTAACAGTAGAGGTGGTTTAATGCTATTTTGCCAAGAATTTTCTCCAGAAATGATCCTTGAGACAACAGACAGAAAGTAAGGGTATTGGCATGAACAACAATTTCTGCAGTGTTAAAAATAAAAGTATAATAGTGGTTTGGCAATGTAATCATGTTTGAAAGAGAACATCCTTAATTTTCTGAACTACACGTCTAAAACCAGCCTTGGCCTCGTTGATAAGCATCAGAGATAAACTTTTTTCTGCTAGGTAGTATTTGTGATTGATATTCTGTCCCTATATATAAATGAATCACAAAGACCAGCCTAGTCCTATGGAACAAAATGACGTCACTCTTCTCAAATGCCCTTCATGGATGCAAAGTTGAAGCACCTAGTCAGGGTAGATTTCACTGCTACACAGAAAGAAGGAAATTTAATTGGGATTCAGGCTGTGGTGATCCTCAAAATACACTTTACTTTCAGCTACAATTTCATTCCACCAACAAGTAGTTGTTGAATGGCAGCTTTGTGGCTTAACAGTGTAGGCTAGAGAGTAAACTCTGGGAAGACAAGAGCCAGGCTCAGTTCCCTGGGCAAGGCTAACACATCACAGGCACATAGTAAATGTTTGCAAAATGAATGTGAATAAGTGATTAAAGAGAAGGAAGAAGGAAAGAATGAATGACTACTACACGGAATATAAAAATAACTGAGGCATTTCCTTACCCTCAGAGAGGTTATTGCATATAAATAACTATTCACGAAAAAACTTGAGTAAAATAATATTAGTAAAAACCATTTGGGGATTTCAGAGAACAAATGAGAAGTCCTATCCAGTAGAGAGGAATTGTGACCATTACAAGATGGAAAGAGCATTTGATAAGTATGAAGGGTGTTTGATTTCAATGAGCAGAAATGACAAAGGGATGATCAAATCAAGAAAAATAACTTGAGTAAAGATGTGGAGCCAAGAATGTAAATTCCAGGACTTTCTAGGAATGTTAAGAAATGTTGAGTCCAGTGTCCAATACATAGGGTACTTGAAATAAGCTAGAGCAGATAAGGAGCTGACCTCGAATGTCAGGTGAACATGACCATCGGGGATTTAGTGAATGTAGAGAAACGGGACTGGAGATGTGGAGGATGGAGAGCCAGTTAGTAAACAATAGTCCAGATAAAAAGTGGTAAGCCAAGTGCATGAACTGAGAAAGAAAGAAAGGTGTGGAAAATATGAAGGGAGCAGAATTGTTAAAACTTGATGTTAAATTGGCTTGAAGGCAGAGGAAAGTGTATAATGAGCCTGAGATTTCCCACTTGATGACAGACAGCAGTGGTGGAAGTAAGGACCATAGAGGAAGCAATGGTTTTCACAGAATAGAAGAGTTGCACTTTGAAGACTTTTTTATTAGATACCATTTTAAACTGAAAATCAGAATCTCAGAGCCCTGGGAGTTCCATGTGGACATTCAAACTTTGGGGGTTATTCCCATTGTCACCTATTCAACAAACAATGTGTAAGGCACTGCAATTTGTTGTTTGCCTTACATTGGCTTTTTGTATAGTGAGAAAAGTGTCTGAAAGTTTCCCCTCTATTCTAATCTTTACCATGCTACTCTGCCTTCTGCCCTCTAAAGAAACAGATTTGATTTCACAACCTATTGGACGAAAAACACAGAATACTAATCATAACACCATATTCTCCAAGGGCAGATTTAACTACCCAGTACAACAAATTTCAATATGAAATACAGTATTCTGTATAACAAGTTTAATGCCATGCTCTTAGAAACAAAGGAAGCATAGAAACAAATCCACTTACAAGTTATGCGCCACACATAATCTTCTATCAAAAAAAATGTTTTCTGGGGCTTGGGATGTAGCTCAGTACTTTAGAACTTGGCTGCTATGTACACATATGCAAGGCAAGGCCCTGGTTTTGATCCCTCGCAGTGAAAAAAAAATTGCTTCTTTGGTTATTATCCACATAGTGATAGGAAAAAAACACAAAGCTGAGGAAATTGAGAACATGTTCAAGGACTAATAAATCTCAGTTTGGCTGAAGTCTAGGGCTATGTATTATAAGCTCATTTATTAATTTAACATCAGTTGTACTGTCGTGAGAGGACTCCCAGAGCTGACTGATATCTGAGCTGTTTTACTTCTATTCTTGACCCCAAATGACAATTAGTAACAGTTAGTTTCTAATTCCTTTCACTCATCTCTTCCTCACATGCCAAACACACAGTCATACTCACGAACTCCAGGACCATTCACTGATGAAAATCTTCAGCATAGAATGAGTAAAGACTAGGAGTAGAGTATCTCTGTATGATACCTTGCTTCTTTGCCTACTAGGACCTAAGCTCTTCTTGTTACTTTTCACTTTCTACTTTAACAAAAAGCCTCCATCGCTGTCCCTCTTATCTGTACAGTCTGCAAATTTCGATTGTTATTTGAAATTGTGTATTGATTTAAAATAAAATCTAGTAACAGCAAGAAAGTTGAATGTTCTGTGTGTTCCATGAAGAAACTGAAAGCTGGAAGGAACCTTTAAGGCCTTCTAATCCAAGCCCTTTATTTTACAGATGAGGAAACTGAAGCCCAGAGAGGTGAAGTGAGGTGCCCAAGGCCACACAGCAAGTTAGAGGCACAGCTAGTACAATAGCTCAAGTCTCCTGACTCCCAGTCCAGTGCTCCTCCCATTACTCCACGGGTCCTGTCTCTAAGCTTCCTGACAAATGCTAGAACGGTAAACCTCCACTAGTATTTTTCCAGACCATGTTAAAACTCTTAAGGCGGGGCGGGGGGGGGGGGGGGATTCTTTCTTGGATAATGTCAGCCATACGTAGCTCAAGCTGTCTAAAAGTTCTGGGACAGGGTCTTTTTATACAGCCAACAGAGTCCAAATGTGGTGCTGTTTGCTTGGCCCATATGCTTTCATGTGTTCCCAGTTAGGCCATTACTGGAGGGAAAAAAAAAAACAAGAATCAGCTTGTTTTAAAACAAGGGACATACTGGACTCCCTCCCATCCCCCTTCAGAAAAAAAAATCAAGTTATCTTTAACAGATTCTAAAAATGCCTTTTCCCAAATATGCAGTCAGTTCCTTCAAAGGGCCCTTTGTTTATTTTCAGGAAGAAACCCAAGACAGCTGAAAACCAGAAGGCATCTGAGGAGAATGAGATTACTCAGCCTCGTGGGTCCAGCGCCAAGCCGGGCCTTCCCTGCCTGAGCTTTGAAGCTGTTCCGTCTCCAGACCCAGCCCTCATCCACTCAACACACTCACTAACAAACTCTCACGCTCACACCGGGTCATCTGATTGTGAGTACACCATTAAGGTCATGGTGTTTTCGCAGTGCTTGGAGTAATGTTTTTCCCCTGAATTCTGCCTGTTGTGCATTCAGAGCAAGCTATTTGCATTTTGTCTTCTAAAATAGCCAAAAGTAGCATGCCACCATTTTTATTTGACCAACTTCTATAATTTTCAAAGCTAAATCTATTTTAAAGCCAGGTAACCAGCCATTTGGCCTCAAAAGGCAAATTAATTATATGATCCACATTCTCTTTTATAGTATTAACTCAGATAAAGAAGTTACAATGCCGCCTTCTAATTATGCTGATCTGAATAATACCACTTCCACCATTACTAAATGGAACAACCAAATGTGGCCCTCAGAAGGGCATTTAGATACAAGGAAATGTCCATTTTTAAGTTACATAACACAAATCAGATTTGCATTAGTTATTGAAGTCTCATGTAGCTTGGCTGAATTTCTGTCTTTCCAGTTTTTAATTTATTTTGAAGTGGTTAAAGGATAGCATAAATTTACAGAAGAAAAGAAAAGGGCTTCCAAGAATTCAAAAGCCACCCGACTTAACATAGCCAATAAGAATTCAGGTTAAAAATATTTTTAATTAAAAAAACTGCCTGAGGGCTAAATTTGGAAATGGGCAGCTTAATGAGATCGTCACTATTGAAATCACTTCTTTGCTGTTTATTTTTGCCATCTCACTAACCTGGAAGTCACTTGTTCAAATTTTATTTTTTAAAAGTTGAATAGTCACATTTAGGAGATTTTTTTTGGGAGGGGGGGTCCTTTCTGAAACACAACCCAATACTTAGGGAGAAACATGTATGTTGACAATGTAAAACGTTAAATAAGTTTGGGGGCAAATCCAAATGAGTATTTCTTATAGCTTTAAGATACCTAGCAACTCTTCTGAACTGATCTCCATATGGGTCATCTGGTAACAGGCAAAGCGCTGGCATGTTCTTCTTTAGAATCAGTAAGATAAGATCAAGAAAGTTTTATTTCTTTTATCCTGTCCACAAAGACAAAAATTATTAATTAGGAAATGTAATTCTAAATCTATTGTTATTTTTTGGAAAGAACAAATGAATAATTTTGTGAAAAGGGTCAGAGATGACTGAGTCTGGAGATTTCATTCTCTGCTTGTTTCATCATAATAGTCTGTAGAGAAAGGGATAAGAACTAGGGGCAGGAGTTGGGGTGGAGACAGCTTGTTTTAAGTATGGCTGGGCTGAGACTGATCTGATGAGATTCAAACCTACACCTGTGTGATCCATATAGTCGAAGTTGCAATGTCTATAGAGAGATACAGGAGTCTGAAAGAGGGACTGTTTTCTGTGGACCATTGTAATAGTCACACTCTTGGACTTTCCTGGCAGTCTCCAGTAATAGTAATTACAGAAGGAATTGGAAAATAACGTGGCACTGTCCCCACAGACATGTGCACACTGTCCCTACCTACCAGGAAGGTGGCTTGTTCCTGTGGTGAAGGGCCTAGAGCTTGAGCATACAGACTTTCACTGCCTGGCCTTCTGCCATACATTATGGGGAAGACTACATGGAATGGCCTTAGCCCAGAAACCTCCTGTTACAGCAAAACAAGTGTTTTGCTGACTAGAAAAAGCAGTGATCTTCATTATTGTACTTTAAGCATCTTCCAGCTAGGCCTTAGCACTAGTATGGCCGACATTTAAGGAACAGTAGGAATATGGCATCGGTGTACAGTTCCTGGGTAACCCTGTGGAAGGCAGCAAATCTGAGCTTAGGAGGGTGTCTGAATGCAGTTGAGAGGAGAATGAATTGGGAGGAGAATCCTAATCTCCAGCTGTTTAGGAAGTCATTTTGATTTTGCCATTAAGATTTCCCTGCTCCAACTTCTTGTTTAAATTGATTATACTTTTCTCCAAATATATTTGGATTATAGTTTGTCCTGATTTGAGCCTACACTTAGAAGAAAATTGTTTTTAGGAAAGATTCACAGAAATCTGTCCATTTGGAGATTGCTTGTGAGAAGACAGGAAAAAGGTTTATTTTAAGCTGTTAAAATTTTTGGATGCTCTTCTTGCATTCAAGAGAATTTTTTTTTTTACTTTCAAATGTCATTTTACCATAGATTAATTTAAAAGCCTAATTTCTTTAAGGTAAAATATTCAATTCCTATTTAGAACTAACAGATTTGGGGCATTTAAAAATAGTGCCCCTGACTTGCTACTCTCTTTAACTTCAGAAACATTCTACCAGTGTGGGGTGTTTTAAGCTTTCACAAGTACCTAAATTTTTATAACACCTTTTTATTTGTCATATATTTAGCACATGATTCTTAATCATTCCTTAATGCCCATTCCCTGTCAGTCAGTATGATTCTTCCCAGTTTACAGATGAAAAAATTGAGAAAATTGACATTCACATAGATGAACTACTTGACCATGGTTAACCCACCTGGGGACTGAGAGGTGTTTGTGGGTTTGCTTTCACTGGGAGCAGCCAGAGTTTTCTGTTCATAGTCCAAAGATGGCATTCCTGGCTCTGGACAGGCACTTTAAAAATGTAAACTACTTTTATTGGTGATTGGGTTACAAAACAGGATGAATTAAATCATTCCCATAAAAGAAAATTCAGCTCCACTGTGAATTGGGAAGGATGGGCAAGTCACGGTATTGTTGCATGTGAAGGACACAGGCCATATTTTCAAGCAAAGTTGACAAGTCCGACCTCTTAAATTCTTAGTTTGCTATTTAACCTGCTGAGCCACTTCAAATTTGCCAAAAGATCCCAGTAATTTCAAACCAAGAAGGAATATAGTTGAGATATGCTTTCCTTTGTGAGGTGATAATGTTAATATTGCTACTGAAATGTGTGCTGCTTTGCATTGCACCCACTAATACAATTTCTTTTCAGTAATATTCTCCCATTACCTCCTAGCTTGTCACCTCTACACCATTTCTAAAAATCTAATGGTAAACAAATTTAGATGATGATAATGGAAGGCATTAAGATCAGCTTAGGAACAAAAAGGGTACAAAAACCCAAGTGTTTGACAGAGCACTTACCCATGGAACATGCTGAGTATGAACTGAGCCAAGCTCTCCCTTTAAATGCTTAAACAGGACTGAACCAAGTCAGTAGAGCAGACGAAGCTCTCCATATGAAAAACCTTCCTTGACAACTATCAAGCTGTAGCACATCACAGTCATATTCATGTGATAGACGCGACCAGAACTTTACTTGCATATTTCTTCCATTTTGTTTTCCCCCAACAAAGGCTTCCATCAAAGGGCACAGCAACTCTTCTCCCTTTAAGTATCCTAGATCCACCCAGTCTGATGTTTCCTTTGTTGGAAGCTGATATCCACAGTTACTTACCTTCCCATCTTTTTCTCTTGACTCATCAGACTGTCTCATTTTTTTTTTTGTCTTCGCCAAAATGCACTTACACATTAACAGTTTTTATTTATTTTTAATTTAACCTTTACACATTACCAAACTGTTGTGTGGGTGGTTTTAACTTTAGCTCTGTAGGTAGCATGACGCTGCTGGGACCGAACGCTCTGGAGAAGACTCCGGGCTCATCCTTTTCTGTCTCTTGCCATCCACCTTCTTTGGCCTTATCCATCCCCACCCCCAACCCTTTACATTGCCTGTCCAAGTCCCTGTGATTAAAATTTTTAGTACTCTTGGCTCATTTTGAACTTTTGAGCAATTTTTTAGAGAACAAAACAAAGAGGATTTTTATTGCAAACTCCATTAATGCCACATTAAAGCTGACATTTTAATTACCCCCAAGTCAGGAAATGCAAAGTTCAGGTTCCCACAGCAACAGAAACTGTCCCCTTGAGTGCCCGCATCACAGCAGATTCTTTCATTCCCTGATTATACAACGCCGGGGGTGGGGACATTGTTTTTATCCATGTATGTGGCAAGGAGCAGAACTCTTATTCTTTGTTTCTTTCCTGTAACTACAGTTGAGGATATGGGTCTTTAGCTTCTCTCCCCAAACCATCTATATGTATTATCCTGTAATGGAAGACTGTTGTAGCTCTACATGTGCACACGGACAGAATTAAAGTTGCTGTGGGAACATTAACTCTGATTTCCGGACTTCCGTGCCAGTCACATTTAAACCATAATGTTGTAATTTTTGGCATGTAATAAATGTGCATTTCATGTACACAGACAGAAAGAAGCATAAAATGTATTTTAAAGAGCAATTAATTACTAACTTTGTGATTAAAAAACATTTGGTGCATTTAGCATCAGCTGCTGGTCTTAGCCAGGCCTAATAGATGACATACTGTGTCTCATCCTGTATCTCAGATGTACTTACTGTATGTTCCTGTTCTTCTGGATAATTAATTCCCTTAGTAAAGCTGTAGGGGGAAAACAAAATGGAAGGAATATGCAAGCATGTAAATAGGGAAAGGATATTTTGAAGGAAATGATTCATTTCTGCAAATAAACCTCGGAGTCCCTGATAAAGTGCCAGAAATCTGCTAAGTGGGTGTAGACAAAGGTTTCTGGCCACCTTAGAGCATCTGGTCTGGGGCCATAAGAACAACTTGCAAGCAGATTTTCCTATGAATTCCAGGCATGCCCAGTGGAGGAGTGATTTTTACTCTGCACTAACTTTTTAGGCCTAAGGCTTTTCAGTTTATATTCAAACTGGAAAGGCAAAGTTGTAGGGAAATCAGGTAAGGTGTGGGATTTGCCAAAGAATCTGACTTAGAAAACTGTGGAATTCTTTTTTCCTTTACACTTGAATCTGGTTGACCCATTTGTATTAGAGAAGGAAAATTTTCAAAGTAACTAAACAGGTTTGTGAGTGAAAGGAATTAGTAGCAATACTTTATTGTACAGTGTTTAAAAATTCATCAGGCCGGGGATTTAGCTTAGTGGTTCCGTTGTCTGCCTCACAAGTACAAGGTCCCGAGTTCGATCCCCAGTACCAGAAAATAAATAAATAAAATAAAAATAAAAATGCAAATGCTTGAGTTCATTTGAAATAGAGTGAGA